CTCGCGCGTATTAGCCCCGCCTCGTGTGTCGTGCGCATAAAAGAGCCACATGCTTTATGTAACGGGCGCTTTGTTAATATGCGTAAATCCAAACGACGATTACGTTTTATTACATTATACGAAATTTTACGACAGTACCTAACCAATCGATAAATATTGCACATCAACATTCTCGAACGATCTCTATTATTATTACGCAGTTTCCACAGAAGTTGTTTTGTTATCTAGTTGAAGGCCTATAACGGATTTTTTTTATTTTAGGATTCCGTTCCCAAATGGTAAAAATTGAACTCTATTACTAACACTCGTATCTAGTTGAGTTCTAGTTTAGTTGAGAAAAGTAAATCGTATCTATAGTTTAGAAAAAATCTTAAGCAAATATTTTTAAACAATGGACGAAAATTTGAATGAAATAAGAACTGTAAATAGCTAATAATAATAGTACTCCAACTATTAACACTTCTTACTACATTCAAATTATTGTTTATGAGGTAAATATATGTGCTTAAGTATTGATATATTCTCAAATATTTACTTCTCTCGACTATAGCTACGAAGGTGAGACTCTGCCATCTGTCACCAGTCAGGCTGTATCTCATGATCCGTGATAGAGATAGTTAAAATTCTCACAGATGATGTAGGATTTCTGTTACCGATATAACAATAAAATCACGGAACTCTTCGAGCGCGAGTCCAACTTGGACTTGACCGTTTTATACTAGAACGGGGTATACTTTTTATAAGTTGTTTGGGACATGCGAATGGCCAATAATACAGTTAAAAGAAGTTGTATTATTTAAACTCCGAACAGTTGATTAATAATCAATTTTTATTTTCCTATCTATTGCCTATTACCTATTGCACATGCTATATTCAATATTCACACTACATTTTTGACTGAACCCTGCTTTTTCTAAATTTATCATTTTTTTAATACTATAAACATCTACAAAATAATAGTTTTACACACCGACTCAAAATAATAATAAAGCTACTATTTTACTTATAAATTTCAATATATATATATTAATCAACTAAATCACGCAAAGTTCGAATCATTTGAAAAGTTCACAGATAACGGTCTTACTAGTATTTACCATGGACTTAGTACTAATATGTTAGGACTTATTACTTTGAAAAATAGTCATTACGAAAATTTAACTTTAATACTATCATTAAAGTGTATTTTTCATTGTTACTTCTACAGAAGCATATCCGAGCCGAGAGAGATAATCACAACGGAGACCGTAAGTCCCGTTCTTTAAACACGTCAGTATAAAAAAAATATCGTTGATTAAAAAATACAAGACTTAACAAGATTAAAATTTAACAAGATTATTATGTACGAAAATAGCCGCGTTAGTTAAAAAAAGTGAACCATATGAAAAGTGTCACTTAATCAGAATGTTATTGCCGCCCTATTAGAAAGGGATAAATAGCCTCTGGCCTTGATATCTTGCTCGCCTCGCTTTTTAGCATGGAGGACTCTGTCCTGGTATGTAGTACCTACTAAGTCCGTGGTGATTACAGTATTACATATTTCCTTTAACATTTGCACTGAAAGAAGTTTCGATTAACCTTCAAAAAGGCGGGAAGCAGAAAAGACTACTACTTCACACTCAAGTATGTCATTGTCTATTCGTTTATGAAACCAGTGTTAAGACGTCATCTATATCATATCGATAAAATTATATAATAATAATAATAATATAAGGTCATATAGATTATAATAATATATTACATAATATTCTACATTAAAAGAAATTAAGGATTACCTACAACAGAATTTCACTTAGTAAATATTCAACTTTAAATCTACATTTACTACCTACCTACTAAATTTTACATAAGGTAATGAACTAAGCACCATCGTGACTATAATTGTGACATTAGGTATCTAATTAATACTTCATTACTCGAGTTTTAATATCAATTTACTATGTTAATTTATGGATTGTCAAAAATATAAATAAAAGAAGCTTTGCTTATTCAAAAATAATTCATTTAGATTGAAATAATACTAGAAATAAATTAAAATTCCAAATAAATTATTATAACTAATAAAATAAAAAGAAGTAAAATATTGTTGTTTCAGCCAGAAAGTCGCTTAATGCTCTAAATGGTCCATTATTTAATATAATAAATAATTCCTGATTTTCTTTATTGTGAATATCTCAATTTATTTTACTTTTGTTTATCATAAGGCGATATTCAGTAATTAACAAGATTTATGTAAAGTTATCAAAAATTATAAAAGCAAAGATAATATTAAAATCAAAATAATACTTAACATAAACATGTTTTATTTTATAATATAATTTTAAATGTAAAGTCGTTTAACCTACAATAATTTTAACCTACATTCATCTAGAGTCTGGCCAGCAAAAACAACAAAAAATTGTGGTAATTTTAAAAATAGCAGCTTTCAAGATCGACTATACGCTGTATAAATAATATTGAGATTTATTATTTTCCAGAGATGTACATAACTATATACATTTTTAAAAATTATGAACAGTTTGAATAAAATTTAAAGATACGAGTATATTAGTACACAAATTAATTTTATGTTCCACTCCTACTTTATATTGTCTTCTCATTTTAATTCATATCTGTGTTTTTTAAATTTTCTGTATAATATATTTCTCTTATACAAAACCAAGAGTGATTTTATTAAAAACAAGATCATATTCGACAAAACGCATTTTCACAGTTACGAAATGTGGCAATACCCACTGAAGTTTGGATAAATTGCGAACAGCTATTGTGTATCAGAAATATTATATTATATATTATATAATACATGCATACAAGGAATTGTCGGATGCGTTATAAATATTTTTTTTAATTCAACGCAGTTATATGTTGGGCGCCAACAAAAACATAGCGAACCTCTTGCAATTTTTTTTTATTATTATAATTTTATAAAACGCCTTGATTTGAAACATTAGAAAAGGTAGCGCGTAAGGTCTCCTTAATGACCCATCGTTAAATAAAAGTTTTCTTTATTATGAAAATTAAAAAACTCGAATCATTCTACAATTATCTAAAATAAACACAACAGTCAACACACATATAAGTCGTATACAACGATTAAAACACGTATATAACTACAGCTTTCTAACAAATAATACATTCAAATAGCAAAATAAGGATAGGCTCTTACAATTAATACATTAATTGGTCATACAAAGTTTTGTTCTCATATCACAGGTGTTAATCATTCGAAATACTTTTATTATATCATAATATACACCATTCCGTTATATATTAAAAAAAAATCTTAAAGCTTTCTCTAAAAACATAGATTTAAGGAGATGGCATATGAAAGAAAAAATTACATGAAATACCCACAAGTTTTAATGCAATCTTGTGGAATATTGAACACTCATTCATGGTTTATAATATGGTATACCTATTAATTATATTATGAATAACATAAATTATCTATCAGCAAAAATACTTGGGATATCACTTGAAACTACTGCTAATAATAACATAAACTTGTTTTATATTACATAATTTAATTTCATATACGTCCGCGATTTTATGAACATTTGGTAGCTTTAGAATTTATCGCAGAGAATATTGCAGAAAAAATTTCATAGATTACATTGGAAAATACTACACATCAGCCCCTTGCTCTCGAACACAATCGAGACCGATCGACATTGGGATTGTGCCGCTCCGCCCTCTTGATTGGTTCACTAGCATACTCTGTAGCTGGTGTATCAAATCAAGAGTACGATCGGCACAATTGCAATGTCAATCGCTTGCGATTGTATTCGCATGTTATCCGCCAAAACTGTATTTATCTGAATGAGTATGACTTAATTTTATTTAACTCTTCGAGTTTAAAGTTCAGAATCACAAAATTAATGCGACATATGACATAGTGTGTGCAACTTGACTAGTAGCTCGGTACACGAGATAGAATCTTATAGGACTGATCTTCAATTTTTTAATTTAATTTAACAGGCTATAAAATTATTAATTCAATTAGAAGAAGCAGTTTTAATTACTTTTATTAGGGCGCATGACAAAGGCTCAAAACATGAAGTGCTTCAAATGTGTAGTTTCACATAGCTTTGAATTATTTTAACTGTGTTTCGATTTGTCTCGTATTCTAAGTACATCTTAGTTAAAACCTTTTACAATCTATACCTAATACTCAGTATAAATACCCTTTTCTTTAAAGATTAGATACTCATTATTAGTAGTATCTTTGAAAAAGTGATCGAATGCGATCCATACTTAAATCAGTGATTCTCAATAGGGATGATGACTGGGTAAAAAAAAGAAATCGTTTTTAGTCCGTCAAAAATATTAGATACGTTTTTTTGCTTCGATTTAACAAGAAATTGCATAGAAAGTTGATGGGTGGGGGCACAGTTTGTAAAAAAATGTACAAAAGCGTGACGTCATGAGACATTTTAACACAATCTATCGAAAAAAAACAATAATTATTCGTCATCCCAATTAATGTTACTATTGAATTGTTATTCGGCTGGCGCATAGTTGCTGTGCTAAGAGCCCAATAATACTCACGGAGAGGTGTATACCAAGGGTGCGACCGCCTAACGCCATAGAATACGACATTTTAGCGATGATAAGTATTAGTACTCCTTTGACATGCACTACATAAATATCGTTATAACATCGCTAACATGATGCGTATGCTATCAGGGGCGGATCTACCTAAAAAATTGACGGGCTTAAGCCTACGGCCCCGTGAATGCAGAGGGCTCTCAATCCCCCGTAAAACACTACGATACGGTACCTTTACATTAGGAAAACAGTTTCGAAACAAAATGACATTTACTTCAATCATTAATAGTCCCCTGAGTAGTATTAGCCCAGGGTTCCACAAATTTACGATCCACCCTACGTTGTTAACCCTGGAACGTATTGACAAGCCACCTATACGCCGTCCATCATAACGTGATGAGCTCCTCCCACAGGAGGGCGACGCGCGCGTGCAGCGCTGCACGCAGCAGGTTCTACAACTGATAGCCGGCTGCGCCCGGTCCCGTCCCCGCCGGCACACCCTCTCCCGCCTCCGCGCGCACCAGAGGGGGGGATAGGGGATCCTCGCTCGACGTTAAAGTCGTGGATGGGGGCAGACCTGGAAAACCCATCCCTATAGTACCTACCTAATATTAAGAGTATTGTAATGACTGTTGTCCGCAGCCCCCTTGCGGAGGACCGGTCGCTCTAGTCGAAGATTCGTTGTTCCTTCAGGGCATGCAACCGACAGACTGTCGGTGTTTAGTCATAAGTCTGACATAACCTCACAACCGGCTCTAAGGCATCTCCTTCTCTCGTTAGGAAGGTAGTTTCGATACCCTAAGGTTGTGAGTCGAAATAATGACTGATGATATATATTGTATAAGTGTTGTTAGAGAGAAAAGGTCGAATATAACTCGCAGCACTTTATATCGATTCCACTACGGGCGTCCTTATCTGTCATATCAGTTTTCACTGTCACTGACGTTTGATCAGTTTGGCGCCGCCAATCTGGACTGGGCCCGCGTGGAGGGTCATCATGGCGTTTTATCCCGACTCATAGAGATGACCTGTGCCTTAGCAACGGAAACATTAATAGATTTATGATGATATTGGGCGACAGGGCCTGCATGCCCGCATGCGGGCTCAATACCAATTTTAATTAGGCATTAGACTAACAATATTTACCTTCGTTGTCATCTTCTTCTGCTAACCATTTTTGAATGTCCATCTGGTACATCCGCCTTTGTAGAACTTCTTTTGTTCGTGGCCGTGAACCAATAAACGTGACCTCAGCCTAAACCAAACGTTATTAATCCAGTAAACAAGTCAACTTGTTTTATAGACACAAAAAAATATGCAGTATTTAAACTTTGACTATAAAATGAGTGGTTTTTGCATGCAAGAAACTTGACATTCGGTTGCACAAACGTCGTCCCAAGGGTTAATGACGTCTTTAAGCTCTAATAAAAGTTCTAAATTTGAAAATTTGTATCGGTACTGTTGTTTTAAACCATTTTAAAGTAATTTCTATTTTAATAGAAGTTTGTAAAACTGGGTGAATGTAAATGACATGAAAGATATTTCTCTGATTTGAAATTATGCTAATGATATGTAATAGTTTCATTAGTCAATTCTGTATATCGATTTCTGCAGGAAATGCTCAGAAAATTATGTGAGTAAAGTAGCCTAATATAACATCATGATTCATTCACATACCCCGGGCGGTAAGAATGGTCGAAGTTCCTCTGCTAAATCACCGCTAGCACCTAATCGTTGGGCTTCCTCCCAACTTGTATGCACCTCCTCGTGCAGAAGTTTTTCCTCTAAAAGCATACAATAAGAGAAATATTAAAACGCTACTTTTAAAATTATAATGGCGCATTTCACAGAAGGTTTGACCACGGCTGTGGTCTATTTGACACGCCTGCTTGGGGAAGGAAACAGACTCGAAGTCGAAGGATTCCACTTGAAGCAAAGGTTTGATCTAATCAATAATGAGTCTCTTTATTGTTTATTGGTAAAACATAGCATTGTGGACGCAAAATTAACTAAAACTAATTGTCAATACTACGTCATCATTCAATTACTTATTACCTTAACCATATTTTCATAAATATTTAGACAAGCTACCATAACTTGCTCTAACAGCAGAAAAATATATATTTAACAATATTTAACACCAGCATAGGTACCTCGAATATTGAAATATGATAGGTCTGTCAGATGCAGAAATATTTTTGCCAATATAACGTCACATCATACCGAGTCACTTAAAACACAAATGATTACAAAACGCAACTTTTAATTTATACCTACATGCCAGATTCCTTACGGGTAGGCAAAGATATTTCATGTGATTTATGAAAATCAGAATATCTATGTTTATTCTAATGTAAATTTTATTTTTTGTCAATTCTCATATTTTTTGGTATATAATTATTTTTCACTACTGATATCAAGACTACAGTATTGTATTTGAATACCTAACTATTTTTGTTAAATAAAGGTTTAAAGCAACTTAACATACCATCTCTTTTGGTAGTACTTCTTTTGTATTGTATCCTAAATCGGAATGCTTCTAGAACGCTCGCCACCACTATTGTTAACACCACCATCGTGAAAAGGTAGAACACCTGAAACATATTGTGGTTATCGTTGCCCGTTTAAAATTTTTGAAATTGAGTTTCAACTCTACCCTGAATCCATTATAGTTTTAAATGAAATGATGAAATTCGACAGTTTGTGTAACCTAACATGATTTTGACTGACTCTTCAGTCTGCCGAAATAATAGTCTACATACAAAACTAGTTCTATACTAGGTTCTGCATGCTCACACTTGAATGCAATCGCAAATCGATCGACATAGCAATTGTAACATACTCTTGATTTGGTACACTAGCGCCAACTGGCTCAATATTGCGTGGTTATTGAATGCTTAGACTTTATTTCCACTAAGTAGCTAGACATAGGAGTTTGGCCTGCAATGCGCAGGTTATGCTACCATCGTTAGGGTCGATGATCAAGAATATATGTACTGTCTCAAGCTCCTCTATGTTTCGCAAGGTGCTAGCTGCATTTGCAATCGTCAACTCTCACCAATCCGCATTGCAAGCCAATTCTACAAATGGTAACCGTGATACAGATCATGGTTCCGTGTGTCAGCACCCGGTCTTCTATAAGCCTGGTCATCATCATCACCAACAGTTTATTATTGTCCCAACTGCGGACATAGGCCAATGGATGTAATCATATAGGGATAATAGGCTAATGATAACGCAAAAGTCGAAATTCTTTTTTATCAAGGCAGGCGACGTACTTAAGTACCTATCGAAATTTAATAGTTCTTAATTCATTCAAATTTTTGTTTATTAGATATGAATATTTGCTTAAAAAATGACTTATTCACATGTAACTACTTCTACTTGACTTAGAGAGAGATACGTTTATTAGTACCATAAAAGGATTAAGAAAAATCCCTCGCTTACGTAAAAGGTTACTAAATACTGACCATGAAATATATTCTGCTGAATTGTCCTACAACAGTGGCGTACGCGTTCATAAGTATAAACCAGTTGTTCACCACTGTCAACTCGAATAATGTCACGCCGCTTGTGATGATGTTCTCGAAGTTATTCAAGTAATAATAACCCAATGCGTTGGACCCGTTGACGGAATACTTGTAAAAGTCCTCGACAGTCGTGTTCCTGTTGAAAAATGGAATTATTAAAGATTTTAGGTTCATTATTATATGCCGATAAATTGCCTGTGGGTGTATGCAATAATGGTCCTAAGCCTAACGTAGGTTTCAAAAAGCCAAGCATCTTATCAATTGCGGGCGCGTTAGGAGACTTGTTATGCACCACGTCAGTTGTTATCTACAGACTAACACATACCTGCACTGCTGTTGTCTTTACTTATGTGTGTATTTTGTTTACATGTTTTGACCTTACTTAAAACAGTAACTATATTATTTCATCCAAATTCTGACGAAAAAATCTGCGAGCTTATTACAAAACCTGCACAAAGTGGTCGTTTATTACGATTTCGGTCAATACTGTTATTATTGTCGTCTTGCTTACTCTTAACTAGAATTATGTTAGAGCAAGAACTACTCTCGTGTCAAAATTTTAAATCATAACAGCTTTTCCAATAGAGAATAAAGTGCTTAGCTTAGATTTGCACTATACTTACACGCAACAATTCTTCAAATCAGAATCTCCAAATAACTCCATACCGACAATAGCAAAGAAATAATACATGACGAGCATGACGCATCCTGCTGAAGACATCAAAGGCGATAACAGCACCAGTGTACCGAACACATCTCGATATCTTTTCTTAAGCTTATATAGACGCATCAACCTGTAATAACGAACGATACATCATGTTATTTTGAACACAAACTTACTGAAAATTATTATTATTTGAATTCAGTCGAAATGTTGAAGCTTTATAGCAAATGCGTAGAAAAATAATTCTCACATGGTCACTCACCTCAGAGGTCTGAATATAACTACAATAAATAGTCCTGGTGCTATCGTTAGAAGCACAGCACCCATTAGAGCTAGAAGCGTCACGCTCAGATCGAAAACATTCCATCCACTCTCCAAATATGCACTGAGTCCAGATGCCATCATACGTAGAACAGCTTCCAGTAAGAACACTGGGAATAAAAAATAAGCACTTTTTCATTTAGAGTCATTGAGCGTTATCAGCTTATTTATGTCCCCATTTAAAATGGGCCATTTTTGAGGTACAGGCAGACGCTACGCGAGCCTAATCCAGATAGGGTGGTAACAATCAACGATAGTAGATGAAACCGGGACCCACGTCATTATGTATCTTATGCACCGCGGATGAACTCTAGATTATAATCTTTTACTCTCCAATTCGAATACAGACCCTTGAAAAAGATTTTTTAAATTAGTTGTCTGTCTCAGTCGCACTCAGCGAGGAAGCTACGATGGTGTATTACTTGAATCATTCTGATTGCCAATACTTGCTGCGCTCCCAAACTCGGCCTTTTGGGCAGCTACATCGTTTAATGTGGTTGTCACGTTAGCAATGTCATACTTAGTGTATTTATTATCGCTATTGTTTTCTGATTTATGCTTTACAATAATTGCTATACTAATAGTAAAAGTACAAGTATAATACTCACCCGTGAGGAAAAGCCAAGTGTCCCAAGAAGCGCACAAAAGCCGTGCACTGTTCTGCAAATCGCTAGCCGCTTGACAAACTCGCAGTACTAGCGACACACCATTGCCGATGATTAACGCATCTGAAATCCAAGAATGCGAGGTTTCTTTAAAACAGCAGTTCAATGAGTGTGAGCGCTCGTGCGAAGTTATTTAACATATAAACCTTCAATGGTATTGATAGAATAGACATTATTAAAGAAATACAATACATTATTGTTTTTATTTTTTCTATATCGGAACCACTGTGATGGAACTATTAGCATCTCAATAACATAGATTTACATTTGTTAGCAGAGTGCGTATCATGCAGACAATTATCCTTTCTCTGTCTATCAATATTTTGTAATTGATTTGCTAACCGATTGCTTGGCTTCTGATTTTCTCAAATAGTTGTAGACTGAAGAAATATTTTTTTTATATAACTCACATATAAGGTACTCAAAATAAGGCCACCGTACAGCAGCAGCGGCGGCCCGCCCCACTGGCTCTAGCACTGAGTCCGAGTACCACGGTGCTCGCGACTGCTGCGGACACCAGCGGAGCGCGAACACCTCATACAGATTAGCGAACTCCGCACGGCTCAGACCACCGGTGCCGGAGTGGTTCAGTTGCTTAAACATCAGGTACACGTCGAGACCACCTGCAAATAAAAGCATCAGTTGGGGTCATGTAAGTATTCGGTGAACAGAATTTTAGCAAAAATAATCTAAATAAAGTATATAATAAAACTCTAAATGTTACATTAATATTGTTATATAGGCACATTATAAAAAAGTAAGCCTCGATGTTTGAACTAACCTACTTACTGATTTTGAAAAATTAAAAATATATTTTATATATATTTTTGACGTAACTGGCCAGATTTCTCCTGATTCCAAGCTCTCATGTCATCAATAAGAAAAAGTAAAGCAATAACCTTCCATCCAATTTTCATTATATAAAATACTTGAATGAAACCTTAGATTAATGATGCATGGATATCAAAACTTTTAAGAATATAGTTACAATGATAACTGAGGAGCTAAGATTTTTTAGATGAAGAAGATGAGCAGGACAGCCGGTGCTAATAATATGCTAATGAACATTAACGACAATAACATACTGTAATGGGGCGCGTAGTGCCTCATGAGGCCGGCGAAGTGTCTCAGACGTACAGCAAGAGGTGCACGCCGTGATACTAATAGCCGGAAAGCGTGTCTCGTGGCTCTCCTCCTATGCAGCATCAGAGCGCGGCACTTCTCACGCTCGATACGAGTGAATGCCTCGTATACTACGGCTAACATCTATACACAAACATAATGAATTACTCTTAATAAGCTTCTACATTAACTTTACAATGAGCCTAAAACAATTATACATTTAAATAACCAAAATGAAATGAGCCATTATAAAAGTCATTACTTTTATTTTGATGATAAATAATAATGTTTAAATACTGATATGAGAATTTAAATTTTTATAGATGTTTTCTATTAGCTACAAGCTTTAAAAGAATATACGTATGTAACGAAATTTGAAAAATCAATTACCAAATTCATAAGAACGTAGAGAACAGTTATGATGTACAGGATGAAAAAGAGTGCGTACCACTTGGATTTCGCATATGATGGCATCATCACGTCTGGAAAACTAAATAATTAAAGACAAATTAAAAATAATCTGATATAATTATTTCATTTGAATTATTCCATTTGTTTTTAAATTCGTATCATTTTTTTTATATATTTAAACAAAGTCATCGTTTGATAATTCAAATAAAGAACACTTACTTGGCAGTAGTCAACAACACGAACATACTAACGAAAGAATCGCTGATAGTCTTAAAATGTCCATTGTCTACGTGCTCGGAGAACAAATAATAACCAAGAAGTGAATATGTCGCTACGAAGAACATTAGCAAACCTAAAAACACACGATTATTAAAGTTTGAATAGAATTAAGACTTTCGTAATGGATATTAAGATGAATAAAACTTATCGGCAGACTTAACTTTAGCTTACTCAATCAATGAATGTAATATTTCTTGATTAAATAACAATTCCGCTAAAATAGTCTATTACAAATGATTTCAAAATAATTCCGTAAGAACTGGAATCCATGGAACTTATTTTCACTAAGTTGTGAATACAGTCTTTTAATGAAGTATTCTTTGACAAAAGATGGTTCTTATAAACTTACCAAGCATATCAATAATCGGTGGCAGTGATTGTAAAATTTGTCTTATGAACCTCCTTACACCCCCGCAGTGTCTAGTGTCGACCAAAAAGATCGGCCTAAGAGCTCGCGTTACGCGAAAATGTGAAGACTGTCGGCATAATACTACCACAGCCTCCAGCACCATTATTATGAGAGTAATACCCTGAAATGTAAAAAAAAAACAAATTATTGATTAATTTAAATCGACTGAATATTCTTTGAAATACTATGAAAGTTGTTTTATTTGTTACACTTTAAAAATTACACCGCTAAAACAATTTGAAGACCTTAGGCTGGGTTTAAAAGACTTAGGCAAAGGAAACATAAAAGTTTGTAATAATGAAAACTTTTTGTTCAAAATTTATCATTTCCTCAGTTAGAGATATGAAAAGTCATTATGCTCTTGGAAACAAATAGTATTTCAGCATTTAAAAAATATTCTACTATATTACTGCCATGTTTTTTTCACAGACAGCATAGGCGTCTGTTATTAGAATATAAATCAAACAAGACAGAAAAGTGTTGTTTGTTTTAAAATCGACATTGACATACCTTTAACATTGTCCTTTTATGTTTGAGTATTGTACTCCAACCGATCCACTTTAGTTTCAAATGTAGTTCCACTCCTATCACCGTTAAAGCAAGAAGCTCTATGGTTCCATGTGCCCATACTGGAAGCTGTAATTATAAATGGTAATAATTTTGATAACAATCAATCATATATGATCACTAAAGAATCTATAACAAACTGATAATTGTTTCTTCTATATGGTATTCAACGGATAAGTACCACGAAAGCCTAAGACATATTTCACGACCAAATGAAATTACATGTTGTAAAAGTCGTTATCTGATATTATAAAAAACTGGCGAACATGTATGAAAAGACCATTGAAAGTGGAGGAGGCGAAATGTGTGTGTAAAGGCCATTCCTTGTGACACTCGATCGTCCCTATCTCAAAATAGATAAATAGGTTTGATTGTTTCTTTTAAGTTTGCATTCACCATCAATTTAGAAATTTAGAATCAATTTAGAAATAATTTTTGATAGTTATTTTATTTTAAATTTTCTCGTTATGTCCAAAAATGATGTCAGATTTCCAGGCAACTTGTACTTATTTTTCTCATTTGTTCGGGCTTTTCAAACATATATAAAACAAAACGATCCAACACTTTTGAATGAAAATATGCGCTGATTAACAAACGATGTAAAGTTATTATTTATTAATTTTAAAGTAAGGATTGAATCACTCACACGAAATGTAGGAACTGCTGGGTCCTCTGTGAATGCAAGGAGAATGAGCACCAAGGATGCCAGCAGGTCCAACCCGTGGTACCAAGGGTTGTGCACGCGTAGGTACGCAGGTAGTTCCTCGGGGCTAGACGGGTGTGAGTCAAATTTCTCATTGTTCAGCCCTTCCTGGAAAAATTATTAGTGTTTACAAACGTTGAATTATCGCTTTATATCTTCAATATTAAAATCTTCGTCAAAGGAAATATTTTTTTGTAAAAATGCCTGCTGATCAGAAAAATGAAATCATTGACCGCGTTACCTGCTGTTTAATATCCTAGCAGACAACAGGCTGTCAATCTACTATTATTCATTAAGTTGATGATTTTACCAGAAAGACTGATATTTATATTTGACTAGATATTGTATCAAGACAGTGGCATAGCGTGGAGGGGAGCCCTGAATCGAAATTAATTGGGTGGCCCAAATGGAGGGTAAACATTTTTACTTACACACCTTTCGGGGCCCCTGTAACTCAGGGATCGGCGGTAGCTACGCCCCTGGTCTAACCATCGACTGCTTTCGATTTTCAAGGTCGTGAATTAAATACTTAAATATATAATTAGTTTTATACGAATATATACCTCTAGGTATATTGCAGCTTCGTGGTAGTTCATCTCCCAATGTTCATCCTCTGACATATGCAGGCCTGTATGCAGCGAGGACCGACTGCCCATATCAAGAGTGCCCGTATCGCCAGCGCCATCTGTGCCTGTTCTGGAATCTGGAATTATGAATAGCATATAAAGAATAATTTAGTAAATATTAAGGTTTAAAAATCGAGTGGGAAAACTTGACAGTTTTGTTAATGATTTTCGAAGCACGGTAATTTTCGGTTAATCAGAAAGATTCAAGTAGCGCGCCATCGAGCGATCTATGTGGACCTCTGCTGAGTGCGAGTGAGACGGCTTCCTAATGCATTGTATTTTACAACTTATGGTTATAGGAACAAGATTTACTATAAATTTCAATTCGATCGTCGTCTAAATTAGATCTGGAGTGGACCGCCTAACTCTCTAGGTATGACTTTAGTCATGTCTTTAGGCAAAGGATACATCTTAGGAATGTTATGGGGATATTTCAATTCATTTTACTACTTTCATTCCATCCACGGGGAAAATCCATGGCCCAGCCAACCAGTGGGGACATTAATGAGCTTACGATGATCTATGATATTTAGTTGATTAAAGTGGATTCGATGATTTTAGAATATACTTTCTAATTAAATTAGGTATGTACTGTTGAGTATCGTACCTTCCAAGTAAATATGCCGTTTATCCTCCATAGACAATTAGAATTAACTAATTCTGTAATTAAGCTAATGGCAAGCGATGTAAGAAAACAATCACTTCAAGTAACGTCTTATCAAACTTCACTGCACATCACAAACTGAATTCATTCTCGACAAATATACACATACTTGGAAATATGTTTAATGCATAATGCGACCTCGAAATAGTGAAATTTACGCACAGTGCGCACGCGCAGAGGTCTTATCAAGAGCTCTTTAAAACTATTCAATTGTAGTAGTCGAAGCGAGATAGTACTATTGCGAATATAGTGGTGTTCTTTTTATTAACGACTTCTGCATCACTTTTAAGAGTTCGTATTAGGGCTTCAGTAAATAACAACTGAAACGTATTAATATAGTTGATGTAGTCATCATCATATACATAGTTGATGTTTAGTAACAATAATTTAACTAAAGATTACTTTTCTATTAAAAACTAGCTGTTTCCTGCGACTCACCCGTATAATTTTTAACATTATGTCCCCTCGTGAGATATAGCTCGCCGTATGTGTAATAATTTTGAAAAAAATAATTTTTGAAGCATCGATCCATTAGTTTCGGAGCTCAATGCAAATAAAAAAATAAACATATATTTCCCATTCGGTATTTTTTTTTTTTAATATTATACTATAAGTAAAATCTTGCTTTGACTTGGAACAATATTGCTTGCAATTTATGATGTTATAAACATTCAAAATCATACCTAACAGTTTAGCGACAGTTGTAAATATCGTTTGTGGCAGGAGACGTTTCACTCTATCAATTACTTCATCTAACCTTCTATTCATTTCTAATATTTTGTGAAACTTCAAGATACGACTGACTGATATATTGCGAGAGATGATTGCGTCTGACTGAAGCCGGGTGACAATTAAAACGAAATATAGGACAAGATAAAAAACGACAGCAAAAACTCAAGCGCAGTTTTATACATTTAGATTTAATAATTGTTGTTTTATATAAACACGGATATCTGTTGTTTTTTTTTAAACACTCATGAAAAAATGAAAAATCTTAATTTACATCAGATAAGGTAATTATTATATAACCTTATTACTAATTGCTGGAATCCCCTTTTAAGCATGACAATGTACCAGGTACGTAATCTTTTTAATTTCATGAAATGTGTCAGATCTAGATTCTTTTTTGTAGCTTGTTACGATTACTGATAAATTTCTATTATAAAAAGGGTCTTCGTAGAGGAGTAAATCGGAGTAATTCTGTTGTTGTAAGTATTTTAGTGCATTTTCAAAGTCAACAGAAGTATTGGTTTTAATTTTAATATTTGTATTTCAACATATCATCAGAATATATAAAAGTCATAACATTATGTAATTATGAATTGAAGTTCTAGTTACGCATACTTTACTTAAACACACAAACTTATCCATCCATACACACACACACACACACACACACACACACGCACACACACACACACACACACACACACACACACACACACACACACACACACACACACTTACACACACACACACACACACACACACACACACACTTACACACACATACATACATACATACACAATATTTGTCGTGTGATATAATTATATATGTTTTTTGTCTAATACTTACATTTTGTTTGTTAGCTGCCCTCATTATAATAAAATAATTAATAATATTTGTAAACATAATAATAACTTTCTATAATTGGCGTCAATGCTGCATACTTATTTTTGTATAGAAATAACAAAACTGCTGTTGAAACTTTGTTGAATAAATAAATAAATTATAATACTCACAACATTGCGAAGTTATGAGTATTATAATGTTATTTGAATTCGAAGATAAACGGTCAGTTGCACAACCATCTATTAATTTTTTATAACGACTTTTAGCTCTAATTAATGTCTCAATTTGTATGGGTAATTTTAAACATTTTTATTGTAGAAATATGATTATAGGAAAAATTATAATAAAATATTTGTGTTACTCGAATCTGGGACCACAGTGGCCCCTAGCGATACTCGCAATGCAAAATGTATCAAAGAATATGTTTTTAATTAAATCAACAATGGTGATTTTGCTGACCGTATCAACGTCAACAGACAGTAGCAGTAGCAATCTGTTAGCAAAGTGTAAATGTTTAATCAGAGATCTGTTACGCATCACCAACCAGACTGATGTTTTTTTTTTATATTAAAAACAGTATGCGCATCACACACACTATCTGTGACGTTTCACCTTGACGTGATTCATCACGGTATCATACTTGGCGTTATTGTGTTAACGATTTTTTTTTATCATGTAGACATTCTTATTTGCTATATCATAAGCCTCTTTACGTCCCAACTTCACATGGCTTTCTTATGGATGGTTATGGAAGATGGGCCATAACCCTCCATGCTGGTCCAATGCAGATTGGAGGGTGTTAATGACTACAAATGCAGCAACGGCTTTGACGTGCCTTCTGAAGGGCGGAGTAGCTACAGATAATAACTTTTTGGTCATCCATCCCTTGACCGACTCTTGCAAAAGTTGCTTATCAACAGTGGTGTCAGACCGCGGCCCTTCTCCACTGCGCCTCCGAGCTTATATGTATTTCATAATTATTTTTAATTCAGAGTTTAGATTTAATACGGTATTTAAATTACATTTAGGTACATACACATCTATATTCGACTGCGTGGAATGATATTTCCAATAGCCCAATTGTAACCGGCTTCAAAAAAGGAGATTATCAATTTGCATATTTTTTTTAGGGATGACGACTGAGTAAAAAAAACGCAATTCTATTTAGTCCGTCAGTGAGATAATGGAAAAATATTAGATACGTATTTTTTTTTTACTTCAATTTAACAAAGAAATAGCTTAGATAAAAGGCATTAAAGTTGAGGAGTGGGGGCTAGCTACGTCACAGTTTAGTAGAAAACGTACCATAACGTGACGTCATGCGAAATTTCAACTCCATGTAACGCCGTAATTTTATGATTACGAAAAAAATAAAAAAATACGTGTTTAATATTTTTTTACACTCTACTTGACGGACAAACAAACAAAAATTAGTCGTCATCCCTGACGCATCTCTGTGCGTGTTAGGTTTATTGGTTAGGCTTAACGACTACAAATGTTGAATCTGCAGATACAACCGGTACCAATGGTTTAACGTGCCTTATGAAGTACGGTGGTGTATAGTGCGTTAAGCCCAGACGCCTGTCATTAAACAAACAGTTGCTCTTCAGTATATAAATTTTCAAATAACTCTAAATTAATTGGAAAATAAACAAATGATGTTCGTTCGCATAGATATAAAATTAATTAAAATAATCTCACCATTTTGAATACGGGACAATTTTGCGTCCCGGGATTATCTTGTCACGTCGGGACAAACAACCAAAATTTGAGAAGGTCTCTTTCAAACCGGGACGTTCGGTCACGTTATCTTAAACTAACGTCATAACTTTGATGCCAAAACTAAGATTTATCCCTGTATTACCAGAAAGGAAGAGCTTGATTGCGCAGTGGTTGGCGATAGATTTATTAAGCTATTTTCGCAATAGGATGGGTGACCAAAACTTTACTACCTCGAGCTCCTCTGTACTTCAGAGGGCACGTTAAGCTGTTGGTCTTAGCTGCATCTGTAGTCGTTAGTACCCACAAATCTAAACTAAGCCCGCGTGGTGAGACATGGCTCATTCTCCCAGCAGTGGGGTCATTGGTGATGATGATTTCCATGGAATGCTTTTTCTGGACGCCACCAAAACAAATATTTTAAAGACTTAGTCTTGTCTACTACCATAGTCTAATACGTTAATGTCTGCATTAACTCATGAAATACATATGATGTAATAAAATTACAAAAAATTGAGTTTTAAGCTTTGTTAAGAAAAGGACCTATAAGTAAAAATAAAGAAGAGCATTTATGTTACATAATTACATAGAGATTGTTTCCATAGATAATGGTTGTTACATAGTACGGCTTCTCTTACGTCATCTCAGCCAATAGACAGGTCATTTATTTTGCAGGGAGGAACAAAAGAAACGTAGGTATCCTTGGTCATTCGCCGATATTATAGTATTCTTAGTAAAAATATTCTGTTCCTTAAATGTTGCATTCACGGTGCTATATATCTCATAGAATAATACATATAATAATTAATCTATACTAATATTATAGGGAAGTAAGTAAGTAATCTTCGAAAATACTGATCCATACAAGAACATTTTTTTCACCTACGGGAAGATATATCACACGCGGGTGACATTAGGTTACAATTTAAATCGATGAAACCGCTGCTATTAAAATAGATAAAGTAACATGCGGATTGCGAGAGGAATGGATTAGAATCTAGTTTTAAAGCACCCTGCCTTTCCATCCCGCTCTTGTTCATGTGTTTTGCTCGTGAACGAGTGCTGCTAGTGACTAGTGTAGATGAGTCTGCTCTAGACTACTCACACTTGTCCATTTTCTATTATTATGAAAAGGCATATTAAATGAAGTATTATCAGTGAGCTTGTAATACTGCATGTGAATCTATTGAAGAATCAATTAATTTTTTGTTCCTGTCATTGTACCTACATTCTAACATATTTGTATAAAATACAAAATCAGGAAAAAAAGCAGTCCATGCTATGTTTCTCGCCGGTTACTCTGGGTACAAGGTCTCCCGCCGTTCCTCGTAGACTTACGAACCGATGGCATAGAGTTTCGACTTTTACATCAGTGCATCCTCAATAAATTATTTTGTCTCGATTTGATTCTAAGATTTTATTTTTTACTTGAGAAAGGGGCTATGTGCGATATGAGCCTCATGCCTAGGACGCTATCGACCTTTATTCCGGCACTGGCTGAAGCAGGCGTGACATTGAATTAGACTATTTGACAAAGTAAACAACAAAGCCTCACAAAACATACATACACCTTAAGTGACATATACTGCATTATGTAGAGTATAACGTAGCGTCATCAGTCAGCGTCACATAAGTTCTCATCGCTTTAAAATATTGCAATCAAGATATTGCGCATAACACGAAATCTTTTAATTTGTATTCCAGTCCACTTGCGTAGAATAACGTTTGCTATCATCATCTTCTCTTCATCATCACCAGCCTATAAATTTCTCACTGCTAGAGCACAGGACTTCCCTTAGGATAGGAATCAAATCAAATCAAATATGGAGAATGGGCCATGACCTACACGCAACCAGTGCGGGGCTAATAGCTTAATTAACAATGCTTTTCGATGCACAGAGGAGCTCGAGATAATAATTTTGTAGTCACTCATCCTATTATCGGCCGACGCAAATAAATAAATTTGCATAACAACCTTAACTCAAACCTCAAACCTTATTTAGCATGCTTAGGTAAACTAAAGGGTTGCTATACTAATTTAGATAAATGAACCAACATTTATTATGTATGCTGTTTTATCATAATGGCATACCCAAATAATATTATTTATTATGGAAAATCTCACTTTGATAAGACCTTTTGTTGAAGAATTTTTGTGTAATGCTGTTAAGAATTTCATTGTTAGCTAGGGGTAGGTACATTTGACTGCAGCAGTACTTCTACAGAGATCTTTATAATAATCAATGCCTCCTGCGGCTTTAAAATTAAAGCATCAGGTACTATAATTAGCGATTGTCAACAATAATTAATAGAGATTAAGGTTGAAAATAGATTGCGGAATTTGTTATGGTGTAACATAATGTGATGCCGTGTGGTACAACGCTATTGTTAGCTGTTGCAATTATTATAATGGTATTGCGTAAAATCGCAAACCAATTGCTCGCATTAGTGATCTTGCAAAGAGGTTTTAGTTCATCAATTAGTATTGCAATATGCGAAATTAAGAATGGATTTTGGAAAGCAACAATTGTAAGA